TGTCTTTATTCTTTCAGAAGAGAAAAACTATCCCTACATGAAACTTTATGGACCAGAAAGCCCCTGAAGGCACAGAAATTGTCAAAAGCATGATAAAGCAAAGCAGCTTGGGCTTTCATGGCGCCCGGAGCTGCCTGCAAGTGTGCACGAGTTATAGCCAGGGCTCCTCGCAGAGGCTCCCCAAGAATGTAAAGTCCCCCTAAATGCAACTTTATGGGATCAATGAAAAGCCAGTTCAAATGGATAAGGCAGTGGAGACACACAGGTGGGAGCTGGCCAACTCGTGGGTGCAGTGGATTAAAATTCAAATGCCTCTTGGAGCGTAATTAAAAATAGCCAATAAGGTAAAAGCAATAAAAATTTGATTATGTAGTTTTGCTAATCACTGATTTGTTCTCCAAGATGACATTATAATTACCCCTTCATCTCTTATGAGTACACTTCTAGAATGTTCTATCAAGACTGCTGGCATGTGGCATTGGCAGGACTCAGTTTCTTAGAGACAGGAGGAGCCTTAAAGATTGGTCTCCCACCCTCACTTCGCAACCTCCAGCCCCTCACCCCAGGGTAAACAGTCGGTGACATTTAAGAACACATTGACTTCTCATCAGATCTCTGTCATTAAACCACTACTCCAGGCTTCCGAATGGTGCCTGCAAACCCCATTTCCCTTCTTCACGTGGGATGGTTGGAGCAACCATAAGAGTGTGTGCGTGGGGCTGGCCGAGTGGCTCAAGTGGTAGGGCATCTGCCTAGCAAGTACAAGGCCCTGAGTTCAAACCTCAGTACCACCAAAAAAAAATGCCTGCTTGCGTGTGTACACGTGTGTGCACATGTGTGTGCCTGCGCTGAGGAAATTACTCTGAGAGAAAGCTTCTGCAGATAACTCCTCGGGGTCTCCCCTGTGTTTGGCAAACTTAGTCTACACTGCTGCCACCTTTCCCCACCCCAGCTTTATTGACTGGCTTACAGACTTTTTTTTTCAGCATTGCAGAACTGGTGGATTCGTAGCTGTTGAATCCCACGATTGCTGACAGGGCCAAGGTCATTTCTGTGCCTTTTTTGCCAGTTGCACATAAAGGAGTCCTTTGTGCTGAGAGCCATCAGCACATCGTGCTCATGGGCACGTCCCTCCCTCGCTGTCCCCGTGCAAGGAGCTCCGAGCCCTCAGCTGTCCTGAGGTCCAAGGAGAGGAAACCGGGTTCTTTAGTTCTGAACCAGTTCCTAAAAGGGGAAACGGAGGCCTTGAATGTCTCCTGGCGTGATGTCGGAGGTGTTTCAGGCCCTAGTGGCCTGGTACACGTTGCAGTGTCAATGTTGATCCTTGAGGCCAACTGTTAGAGTACCACTCACTCCTGAAGTTGTCACAGAAGCCCTTGGAGATGTCCTCTAGTGATGCCCTCCGTTGGGCTCCTGTCCCTGAATGTACTAAATGTTCACGGGGGACTTGCATGTAGATGAATTTAAGGAGCTATGAAGCTATCATTCAAACTCTTAAGTTGTCATCCCCCTGTTTAAAGAAAAATCAGTACTACAGAAGAGGCATTTTCTACAACATTTGCACAAAATAATAAACTTGAACAAAGTTTTTAAGACTCAAGATCAGATTTGTTATTTATTAGCTAGATCCCGAGCACCAGACACTTGCAGTGAGGTCAAGCCCGAGGGCTCCAGGCCTCAGCTCAGCCGGGTGCTATTACCAAGATAAGTTTGATATGTTCTCAGAAATTTCGTCTGCCTCAGTGAAGGGCCAGCTCAGATGTTAACCCTCCGTTCCTCTCCTCTCAGTTTGACACCCTGCACACAACGAGATCCATTGTAGATTGATTATTTCTTTTCTGCTCGTTTAGTTAGATTTCCAGTGTTATAGAGTCTTTTCCCAGACTCTATAAATCTAGATGAAGTTATCAAATTCCATTAGTTCCAAGAATTCTTTGGGAAAAGTGAGTACACGCCAGCTGGGCTCATTTTTGCCAGGTGGCTCATTTTTGTGATGAGTACACAACGCTGAGAATTTTGAAATGGAAATTTTCCTTCCCTTTAAAAAAAAGTCTTGTGGTATAGGAGTTCTGCAATTTCTTATTCAAGTCTAAAATATGCTTGGAGAGTCCACTGGAGTTACTGTGGTCAGAAGAGGCCCTAGAGCAGGTGGCTATACATAACTTAACCATGGAGCTCTTTAGAGACTGGTGTGAGAACTTGAACCCAGGACCAGAGACTAGTGTAGATGAGCTCATTGTCCCCTTGTGTGAGCCTAGCAAGGCTGTGTGCACATAGCATGTCTGAAGTAGGGCAGAGAGCAGTACCAAGTGGTGGTGATAGGATCCGGGACCTCTTATCCATGCTGCTCTCTGTGTCCCTTCCCTTGAGCAAATGTGCCTGGAGTTGGGGAGGGCATTTGATGGGAGTGGGGATTACCAGCAGTCACATGTTACTCCTACCGTCTGTGAACATGAGATGACTCTGTGACCTGTGGGCCAGGACTTCAAGGTCAACAGCCTGACAGGTTGGGATTGTCAGGGAAGATATTGCACACCTTCAGGTAGCTGTGAGTTTCTTCCAGACTCCAGTGAGGCAACTGTGTGAGCAAAAAGTCACATCTATTTAAAACAAAAGTATGTAGTGTTCAACACTGAGGCGTCTTTATTGGCCCTCTGGTCATGTGGAACAGACTGAAGGACACGACCCTCCTTGTGCTTGTCAGACCTCTGTCTCCTGGGTTACTAATTGGTTCCTAAACCCAATTCCCTCTGAGCACTGTGCTTATCAGAAGGAAGGCAAAAGCATAAAGTCAGGAGCTGCACGATGACGTCTTTGCAGCCAGTGTTTGATCTCTGTGCTGGAGTTGGAGCCGTCTCACCAGAGGGTCATTAGGTACCTGCCGGACAGTGAAGAGACTGAGGCACACGCCTCTAAGCTCTTTAGGGTAGAAGTCGGGTTCCTCTCTACAGTTCTCCCCTCCCTACAGATTCAGCGTATGGAAAGTCTGTGAGTGACATTGACATTGATGTGCATGAACAGCGGACCTTGACCAAGGACTGGGTGCTTTGCTAGACCCTGGGAATATAGACTCAGGTACATAACCCAAAGTAACTGGGGACAGACTCAACTGGAGATGGATGACTTGTATTCATTCGTTCATTTCTACAAAATCGGTTCGTCTACGGTGTTGTGTGCATGGGGATGAATAAAATGCAGCCTTGGTCTTGAGTGTGGGTAGAGTGTGCTCTAGAAACCTAGAGAAGAAAGCCAGGAAGCCATAAACGCTGTGGAGGAGGACACAGGTACAGGGACATGACTTTGACTGTCACAAAAAGGCCCGGGGTTGTGCATTGAAAACTTACCTCCACATGAAAGCTGCACACAAATGTTCATAGCTTTATTAAAAATCGCCGTAACTTGGAAGCACCTAGGTGTCCTTCAGTACATACAGGTAGACACTGTGGAACACGCAGAATGGGATATTCAGCAGTCAAAATAAACAAGCTGTCAAAACATTGACATATGATCCATACGATCCAGCAATCCCACTCTTGGGGATATACCCAAAGGACTGTGACACAGGTTACTCCAGAGCACCTGCACACCCATGTTTATTGCGGCACTATTCACAATAGTCGAGTTATGGAAACAGCCAAGATGCCCCACCACCGACGAATGGATCAAGAAAATGTGGTATCTATACGCAATGGAATTTTATGCAGCCATGAAGAAGAACGAAATGTTATCATTCGCTGGTAAATGGATGGAATTGGAGAACATCATTCTGAGTGAGGTTAGCCTGGCCCAAAAGACCAAAAATCGTATGTTCTCCCTCATATGTGGACATTAGATCAAGGGCAAACACAACAAGGGGACTGGACTTTGAGCACATGATAAAAGCGAGAGCACACAAGGGAGGGGTGAGGATAGGTAAGACACCTAAAAAATTAGCTAGCATTTGTTGCCCTTAACGCAGAGAAACTAAAGCAGATACCTTAAAAGCAACTGAGGCCAATAGGAAAAGGGGACCAGGAACTAGAGAAAAGGTTAGATCAAAAAGAATTAACCTAGAAGGTAACACCCATGCACAGGAAATCAATGTGAGTCGATGCCCTGTATAGCTATCCTTATCTCAACCAGCAAAAACCCTTGTTCCTTCCTATTATTGCTTATACTCTCTCTACAACAAAATTAGAAATAAGGGCAAAATAGTTTCTGCTGGGTATTGAGGGGGTTGGGGGGAGAGGGAGGGGCGGAGTGGGTGGTAAGGGAGGGGGTGGGGGGAGAAATGACCCAAACATTATATGCACATATGAATTAAAAAAAATTAAAAAACAAAACAAACAAAAAAAACCAAGCTGTCAAACCACCCAAAGACACGGAGGAACCTTCAGTGCGTACTAGCAAGTGGAAGAAGCTGGCCGGACAGGCTGCATGCCGTATGACTTGCAAGTACAGGACATTCTGGAAAAGGACAGCTTCAGAGATGGCAAGATGGTGGGAGAGCAGATAGGCAGAGCTCAGGAGTTTGTGGAACTCGCTTGGTACAGTGAAGTTGTTCTGTGTGATGCTCCAGTGTCTGTATGTTGACAATACCCATAGAACTTTCCAGCACAAAAAGTGAGCCCTCGTATATGTACTGTAGATTTGTGGGGTTAGTAATGTCTAATATTGGCTCAACACTTTCAACAAATATGTCATCTGTCAGACATTAATAACAGGGGACACTGTGCATGTGGCATTGGAAGAAAGAGCTATGTTTTTTGCTCAATTTTCTGCAAACCTCAAACTGCTCTAAAAAGCAGTCTTACTAGAAAAGGGAGGTGTGCCAGGGTTTGGTGTGGGGAGCAAATGGCACAGGTGGTATGACAGGGCAGGCACTCAAGGGGTCACCCAGTGGGTGGCAGCAGGCCGCGCAGGACCCTCCAACTCCAGGATCAGGAGGTGTCCTAGATAGAGGAGCCTGGTGTGTTGTGGCTGACACACAGAGGACCTAACGCTGTTGTTTCTGTTCACAGCAAAGAGCTCCGGGGAAGGTGCTGCTTGACGCCGTGTGCAGCCACCTCAACCTTGTGGAAGGTGACTATTTTGGCCTTGAGTTTCCTGATCACAAGAAGATCACGGTAGGAGACAACTTAATGGTGCTGTTTTATGTGTGCCTGTGGGATGGCGAGGCGATCATACCTCTCTTTGTCCATACAGAAGTAAAGAGGGGAAGGACCCAGAAAGCCCTCATTCGTGTTTAAAATACATGCATATAATAAAAATGTAATTAAAATATATGTTTAAAGTAACTTGTGCAGCTGGGCGTGGTTGGATGTGCCCGTAATCCCAGCACTGAGGTAGTTGAGGCAGGAAGATCATGATTTTGATTCCAGCCTAAGCTACATGGCAAGACCCTGTCTCCAGCAAGTTCAAAGACGACATGCAGTGAAGACCCTCCCTTCCTTCCATCCTGGCCCCACACTTTCCCGCCAGGAACCACCGCGACCTTGTGAATACGCACATGCTGTGTGTTTCTGATAACAGCTCGTGCTGTGCGTACCAATCACGTTTGAAAAGCAGGACTGTGAGGAAACAACCCATACGTCCCCTCCCTTCCGAGGGAAAGCCTTCCTTTTCCACGAGGGTCCACGTGTCATTTACAACTTCTTTCGCAAATGGTGCTCTGTTTCCAGTTTTTGCTATTACGAATGAGCCACGGTGAGCATACAAGTACAAAGGTTCCCAGAGTTCGAATCCAAAGGTACAGCATTGTCCAGACAATAGGTCCAACCATTTGAAAGTTCTGAACTATGTCAGATTGTCCTCTCAAAAACTTGCACCGTTTTGAATCCAAAATTTGGAGCATAGCTTCCTGGTGGTTTTTGTTTTGTTTTGGTTTGGTTTTTTTCTCTTTTGGTTGATGACATGTTTTCAGGTTTTAGCCTAATCTTCATTTTATTAGTCATCTTTTTAGCCTATAAATTCATTGGCTGCATTGTATCTGTCATTTCCTACATACTGAACACCTGGGGCCACTTGTCACTGTACTGGCCATGTAATTATGAGTAGGATGCAGGGACCCTGAACCCGCATGGGGTCAGCCTGGAGTCAGAAGCCAACACAGGGCATGGGACAGGCCTCCATGGAGCCAGGGGATTTGGGGACAGTGGTAGCAACAGGAAATCCTTCAGGTATCACAAGCTTGAGTTCTAGGGCCAGTAGGATCTCCTTAACAGAACATTCCAGGGACAGAGGCTTCGCATACGAAAGACCAAGAGCAAGTGGGTCCAGGGAACCTATAGGGAAGGCCAGAGCTGAGAAGCCTGGGGAGGAGGCCAATGGCGAAGACGGTGGAGAGAGAAGCTGAAAGGCCAGTGGGGGGCCAGGCAGGAGGGCTTTCTATACCACCATCATCTCTAGAAGAGGAGCCTCATGCATGCACATTTAACTATATTTTATTTAACTGTACGTATCCAGCACCTTATCATTTCAATATATTATCAACATAAACAGCCACGAGTAAAGTGTTTCATGCTCAGTGTTTTTTTGTCCTGAGTCTCTGAATCCAGCATGCATTTGACACTGTCACCTCTCTCCATTCAGACTGGCCATGTGTTTAGGGCTCCGTAGTCACTCATGATGAGAGCTGTGGACAGCACGGATCTGTTGCAAGCTGCTAGCTTGGAAAGCCTCGATGCATTTCAGAGGGGACAGGACACTATCTGATCTGACTTCTGGTTTGGAAAGAAACCTGCTCTAGTGGAACTGGATGAGCCTGGGGTCAGGAGAGCCCTGGGGACATGCAGCCTTAGGCAGGATGCAGGACTGGCTGGCACTGGGGGAGGGACAGGGGTGAGGAGCTGGGGACCAGAGCAAGGTGGATGCATTCTACAGACAGGGGAGGGGACAGCGGGCTCAGAGCCACCCAGTGTTGCAGCTCTGCCATGTGGGCAGTAGCAGTGTCCGTTGCTGGAGCAGGAGAGCCTTGGGGAAGACCAGGTCTGACTGGAGATGACAAGTCTTGTATAGACATGAAGAAGGGGTGTGCCTTCAGGCAGAGGCCATCGGTGGATTCCTGCAGTGCCGCAAAGAGACCTGAGCAGAAATCTGGGTTCTAGAAAATCCATAGGTAATCAGTGATTACCTTAGCTTTCAGGTGACCCTCTGAAGCTGGATGGCAAGGGACAGGGAGGAGGGCCACGGTGCAAGAGCGCTGTGAAGAGCGGACAGACAGGCAGAGCTCCCAGGAGGTGCAGATGGGAGAGGGAGACCAGAGTGTGCCAAGGAGGGACAGGCGAGGGGACCCCCCAAATCGTGCCCAGCGCCAGTGCTACCTGAGCCATTCTGAAAATGTTTTTCTCTACTTCCTCCCATCTCCAGAGCACCCTCACTTCCTAGTCCTTGCAGTAAGTCTCAGCCTCCCTGACTCCGTCCTCCTTCTAAGGCTGCAGGTGGCCACAGACCAGCCAAACCCAAGTCCACACACCTTTGGTCACCTGACAGTTGTCTGTGCCCACACTGTGCCAGGCAGCACACAGGGTCCTACAGGAGAAACGGGAGGCAATGTGTCAGATGGTACTCTGCAGTTAGTGACCATTCATTAGGGGAGCAGGACTTAGTGAGAGTCCTGGAAACAAATAATTACAGTGTAGCAGGCTGGAATGCCATTTTCATAAGCTCATTTTCTGTTGAAATAATGGCTCTCAAACCACCTGAAGACATGCTATCTCATTATTTCTAACAAGCCTGATCCAGCCGGAGCCGCCTGTCCAAGCCAAATGTCAGAACTGGTGTTTGCACTTCATCATCCAGGGGACCAAGATTCCGGCAGTCATTCCATTCTGGGCCTATCAGTTCGCAGAGGGTCAGGATTCTAACCGTGTGCTTCTGACTCCAAGTTGGGTGCTTTTCTGCTAACCCCAGGAGCTTTGCATTCCCTAGGCTTTTGTTGTTTGTGTTTTGGGAAGAACTGGGAATTACACCCAGCACCTTGTGCATGCCAGGCAAACCCTCTACCACCTGAACCACACCCCTAGTCCTTTTGTTATGGAGACAGGGTCTCATGATCCTTGCCCAGGCTGGCCTCAAACTTGTGATCTTCCTTCCTCTACCTCCTGAGTAGCTGGGATTACAGGTGTGTGCCACCACATCCAGCGTTCTTTCAAGTCTTTATTAGGCTTGACTTTTTTAGGATTTATGATATTGTGTAGAATGTGTTCAACTGCGAAGTAAGAAATAACCATTAATAATGACTTCAAAATGCTTATTTGTTACATGTAATATAAATAAAAATTCAGGGCTGGGGGGTGTAGCTCAGTGGTAGAGGACTTGCAGGCCCTGGGCTCAATCCCCAACATATCAACAACCCCCCCCCAAATAATCCAAATAATCCAAAATGCAAATAGCACCATGTAAGCTCTTACCATGTCCCCTCTTCTCATGGAGTTTACACTCCAGACCAACACCCTTTTTTGGAAAAGGCTAGATAGTAAATAGTTCACACAGATTCTGCAGGCCATTAAGTCTCTGCTGGAACTATTTAGAACTGCAGCCACAGAGCAAAAGCAGCCATAGGTGATATGTAAAGGAACGGGTGATTTCGTTCCAATAAAACTTTATTTATAAGGCACAGGGCTGTGGTTCCCCAACACCTGCTACACAGAGTGGGAACCGTGCCAGGCTCTGTGGCAGAATCCCATGCAGCATTTCAGAGACTCTGCAGAAGCCTGTTCTGTTCTCCTTTTGTTTTTTGATGAAGACGTTAAGTCATTTTCACAAGGCACCCAGGGAGGAACTGGTTGGAGCTGGATTCACACACTGTCTGGCGACCTTGCATTCTCAGTCACCATTCTGTCTGGACCGTGTCTCTGTCTGTCTGTCGATAGTAAAGTCTCGTCCTGGGAGCTGATCTGACATAATGGTAAAAACCTGTCCTTTTGACACTGTTGATCTGTGATGGGAGAGGGGACAGGGTGATGACTGAGGGGACAGCTGGGTCCCAGCTGTGTTCGGTTTCTTGACCCAGCTGCTGGTTCTTCGGGTGCAGTGCCCTGTGAACGTTCGGTGCACTTTGCAGCAGTAACCTGGACCATGGACGCGGGTGGGAATTGCAGCCCACGCAGCAGATCTGCAGCCTTAGCTGTGCTCGGAGGCCACTGCCCAAATCGGCTTCGCAGGTGCCCGGGTGGCCAGCAACTGACCTGAAGGGCAGCCAGGCACCCTTAGCGACAGGATAAGGGGGGGGACACTGCTTTATCCTACTGAACTTCACTTGCTCTTGGGCGAAACAGGGCAGTGCTCACCTCGTGGGGCCTTTGAAAGCAGATCTGTCTGCTTGGACCACGGAGCCTGCAAAAGAGTTCAGAAATCATTAGTTATGGAGACTACCATCGTCATTCCTTGTTACTACCTTTTCTACTGTATTGGAAAACAGGTAACGTGAGTCTGGGCATGGTGGTACATGCCTATAATCCCAGCTACTCAGGAGGCTGAAATTGAAAGGATGGTGGTTCAAGGCCAAGTCAGGCAAAAAGTTAATGGAACCCCTACCCCCACCACCAATCTCAACAAACAAGTTTGGTGTGCACCAACCTGAGCTATGCAGGTAAGAGGATTGCAAGTAGGAGGCTTGCAGTCTGAGCTGGCCCTGGGCAAAAAGTGCAAGACCCTATCTGAAAAATAGCTAGTGTGAAAAAGGGGTTGCAGTACAGCATCTGCATAGCAAGCCCGGGGTCCTGAGTTCAAACCCTAGGGCCATCTTAGCCATTTTTAACTGCACAGTTCAGTCGTGCTAACTCTGCACATCTCTGTACAGCTCGTCCCCAGAGCTCAGCCATCTTGCAAAGGGCTCTGCATCCTTGAATACCCCCTCTCCCTGTCCCCTCTCCACAGCCCCTGGCACCCACCTCTCTACTTTCTCGTCAAGACTCTTAACTCCTTTAGCTGGGCAGTGACAGGCTTATTTCACTCACCTCAGAGTTCTTCCGTTTGGGGGGATTTGCCTCATTTTTAAAGCTGAGTAATATTCCCGTCGTGTGCATACATCACACCCTGTGACCCATTTGTCCCTTAAAGGCTACTTGGGCTGCTTCCACCTCTGGGCTTTTCCAAGCAACACGCAGGGAACATGGGCACTGCC